CTCCAGAATAAGTTGTCTTCGGTGTTTTTGATCTTGGCCATTCTTACAGGTATAAGATGAAATCTCAGAGTTGTTTTGATTTACATTTCTCTGATGATTAAGGATGCTGAACATTTCCTTAAGTTTCTTTCAGCCATTTTAGATTCCTCTGTTGAGAGTTCTCTGTTTAGATCTGTACTCCATTTTTTATTGGATTATTTGTTCTTTTGATATCAATTTCTTGAGTTTTTGTATATTTTAGAGATCAGACCTATGTCTGATGTGGGGTTAGTGAAAATCTTTTCCCATTCTATAGGCTGTCGTTTTGTCTTGTTGACCATGTCTTTTGCTTTACAGAAGCTTTTTAGTTTCAGGAGGTCCCATTTATTAATTATTTCTCTCAGTGTCTGTGCTGTTGGGGTTATATTTAGGAAGTGGTCTCCTGTGCCAATGCATTCAAGTGTACTTCCCACTTTCTCTTTTATAAGGTTCAGTGTGGCTGTCTTTAGTTTGATTCATTTGGACTTGAGTTTTGTGCATGGTGATATATATGGGTATATTTTCATTCTTCTATATGTTGATATGCAGTTATGCCAGCACTATTTGTTAAATATGCTTTCCTTTTTCCATTTGATATTTTTTGCTTCTTTGTCAAAAATCAGGTGTTCGAAGGAGTGTGGATTAATATTCGTGTCTGCTATTCAGTTTCATTGGTCCTCCTGTCTGTTTTTATGCCAATACCAGGCTGTTTTTAGTACTGTAGCTCGGTAGTAGAGTTTGAAGTCAGGGATTGTGATACCTCCAGAAGTTCTTTTATTGTACAGGATTGTTTTGGCTCTCCTGGGTTTTTTGCTTTTTCTGTATGAAGTTGAGTTCTGTTCTTTCGAGGTCTGTGAAGAATTTTCCTGGGATTTTGATGGGCATTGCATTGAATCTGTAGATTGCTTTTGACAAAATTGCCGTTTTTACTATGTTAATTCTGCCTACCCAAGAGCATGGGAGATCTTTCCACTTTCTGGTGTCTTCCTCAATTTCTTTCTTCAAAGATTTAAAGTTTTTGTCATACAAGTCTTGTACTTGTTTGGTTAGAGTTACTCCAAGATATTTTATGCTATTTGTGGCTATTGTGAAGGGTGTTGTTTCTCTGATTTCTTCCCCATCCCTTTTATCATCTGTGTACAGGAGGGCTATGGATTTTTTTTTGAGTTAATTTTGTATCCTGCTACATTACTGAAAGTGTTTATATGAGTTGTAGAAGTTCCTTGGTAGAATTTTTGGGATTGCTTATGTAAACTATCATATCATCTGCAAACAGTGAGAGTTTGACTTCTTCTCTTCCGATCTGTATCCCCTTGATCTCCTTTTGGTGTCTCATAGCTCTAGCTGGGACCTCAAGAACTATATGGAATATGTATGGAGAGAGTTAGCAACCTTATCTTGTTCCTGATTTCAGTGGAATCGCTGGGAGTTTCTCTCCATTTAGTTTGATGTTGGCTGTTGGCTTGCTGTATATTGCCTTTATTATATTTAGATATGTTTCTTGTATCCCTGCTCTCTCCAAGACCTTTATCATGAAGGAATATTGTATTTTGTCGAAAGCTTTTTCGGCATCTAATGAGATAATCATGTGGTTTTTATTTTTCAGTTTGTTTATGTGGTGGATTCTGTTGACAGATTTTCGTATGTTGAACCATTCCTGCATTTCTCGGATGAAGTCTACTTGATCATGGTGGATGATGGTTCTGATGTGTTCTTGGACTCGTTTTGCTAGTATTTTATTTAGTATTTTTGCATCAATGTTCATGAGTGAGATTGGTTTGTAATTCTCCTTCTTAGTAATGTCTTTTTGTGGTTTGGGTATCAGGGTAATTGTAGCCTCATAAAAAGAGTTTGGCAATGTTCTTTCTGTTTCTGTTGTGTGGAATAATTTGAGGAGTATTGGTATTAGTGCTTGTTTGAAAGTCTTGTAGAGCTGAAACCATCTGGTTCTAGGCTTTTTTTTTTTGGTTTGGAGACTTGATGACTGTTTCTATTTCTTCAGCAGTTATAGGTCTGTTAATTTGCTTATCTGGTCTTGATTTAATTTAATTGATATTATCTAGAAAGTTGTCCATTTCCTTTAAGTTTTCCAATGTTGTGGAGTACAGGTTTTCAAAATATGATCTGATGATTCTCTGTATATCCCCTGTTTCTGTTGTTATGTCCCCCTTTTCATTTCTGATTTTGTTAATTTGGATATTCTCTCTCTGCCTTTTGGTTAGTTTGGATAAAGGTTTGTCTATTTTGTTGATTTTTCTGGAAGAACCAACTCTTTGTCTCATTGATTCTTTGTATTGTTTTCTTTGTTTCTATTCTGTTGATTTCAGCTCTCAATTTGATTATTTTCTGCCCTTTAGTTCTCTTAGGTGAGTTTGCTTTTTTTTTCTAAAGTTTTCAAATGTTCTGTTAATTCACTAGTGTGGGATTTTTTTCAGCTTCTTTATGTAGGCATTTTGTGCTATGAACTTTCCTCTTAATACTACTTTCATTGTGTCCCATAAATTTGGGTATGTTGTGTGATCATTTTCATTGAATTTTAGGAAGACTTTAATTTCTCCCTTGACCCATTGATGATTCAGGTGAGCATTGTTTAATTTCCATGTGTTTGTGGGTTTTCTGGAATTAGTATTGCTGTTGACTTCTAGTTTTAAACCATGGTGATCTGATAAGGTACATTGGGTTATTCCATTATTTTTCTTTTATTTGTTGAGGTTTGTTTTGTTTTTGAGTATGTGGTCAATTTTAGAGATGGTTCCATGAGGTGCTGAGAAGAAAGTATATTCTTTTTTGTTTGGATGGAATATTCTGTAGATGTTTGTTAAGTCCATTTGAGTCATAACCTCTGTTAGTTCCCTTATTTCTCTATTCTTTTTTTTGTCTGACTGACCTGTCCAGTGGTGAGATGGGAGTGTTGAAGTCTCCCACTATTAGTGTGTGTGGTTTAATGTATGATTTAAGCTTTAGAAGTGTTTCTTTTACATATGAGGGTGCCCTTGTATTTGGGGCATTGATGTTCCGTATTGAGATTTCCTCTTCATGGACTAATATGTAATGACCTTCTTTGTCTCTTTTGATTGATTTTTAGCTTTAAGTCTATTTTGTTAGATATTAGGATAGCTACACCTGCTTGTTTCTTAGGCCCATTTGATTGGTATATTTTTTCCCCAACCTTTTACTCTGAGACGATGTCTTTCTTTGAGGTTGAGATGTGATTCTTGTATGCAGAAAAAGGATGGATTTTGTTTTTGTATCCAATCTGTTAGCCTGTGCCTTTTTATAGGTGAGTTGAGTCCATTTATATTAAGAGATATTAATGACCAGTGGTTGCTATCTCCTGTTAATTTAGTTTTCATTGTTGGTGATGTTAATTTGTGCATTTCCCACTTCTTTGGGACTTGTTGCTATGAGGCCATCAATTGTCTGTGTTTTTGTTGGAGTAGTCAACTTCCTTGGGTTGGAGTTTTCCTTCTAGTATTTTATGTAGGGCTGGGTTTGTGGCTAGGTATTGGTTAAATCTAGTTTTGTCATGAAATATCTTGTTTTGTCCATCTATGGTGATTGAAAGTTTTGCTGGGTATAGTAGTCTGTGCTGGCTTCCGTTGTCTCTTAATGTCTGCATAATTCTTGACCACGACCTTCTGGCTTTCATTGTCTCCAAGGAGAAGTCAGGTGTAATTCTGATAGGTCTACCTTTATATGTTACTTGGCCTTTTTCTTTTGCCGTTCTTAATATCCTTTTTTTACTCTGTATGTTTAGTATTTTGATTATTATGTGGCCAGGGGTCTTTTTTTTTTTTTTTTTTTAAAAAATCCAGTCTATTTGGTGTTCTGTAAGCTTCTTGTGTCTTCATAGACAGATCTTTCTTTAGGTTGGGAAAATTTTCTTCTATTATTTTGTTAAATATATTTTCTGTGCTTTTTAGTTGAACTTCTCCTTCTCTATCTATTATTCTTAGATTTGACCTGTTCATGGGGTAAGCTTTTGGTAGATTTAATGTTTTCTTTAACTGTTGAGTCTATTTCCTCTATTGTATCCTCATTGCTTGAGATTCTTTCTTCCATCTCTTGTATTTTGCTGTTCATGCTTGCGTTTGTAGTTCCTGTTCATTTTCTCATGATTTCTGTTCCTAATATTCCCTCGACTGGGAATTGAACTCAGCCTAGAAGAACAGCCAGTGGTCTTAACTGCTGAGCCATCATAATAATATCCAATTTATGGCACCACAAGGCACCTTGCTGGCCTGTGTTTTCTCCTCCCTATCCAGTGTGTGAGTCTTCTTGTGCTTTGTCTTAATTGCACTGTGCAGACGTGTCAATGGGGAATATGTAGTTCTGTAAAATTTTTTTTTTTTTTGTGTGTGTGTGTGTTGGGGAAGGAAGTATGGGGAGGGGGGAGACAGGGAAATTGTTCCAGAATTGGAGAGTCGAATGAAATGTAGGATGTATTTATAACTACCTAATTATTTCTGTGAATCTTTATTGCTGTTGTTACTAGAAAATTTGAGGATTCTACTCATGGTTGCCATAAGATACTGGGGAAATTAGGGTCCCCTATTGAGCTTCTTAGTCTCATTAATAAAAAAATTTAAGACTGCACTCAAACAGAAGCATGGGGATAGCTTTATTAGAGTTTAAAAGAAAGCTTCCAGGAGAGGCAAACTGTAAATCTTGGGAACTTCCTGGAGGAGGAGAATGGAGAAGAAAGAGGGGGAAAGCCTTGTAGTTTGAGTCAAACTAGTGTGGAACCAAACGGTGGACAACTAGCTACATGGCGAAGAAGGGAGCTTTGAGAAAGAGTGAAACCCAAAGTAGCAGAAAAAGCACAATTATGTTCTGGCTGGCATTGGAAAGAGAGATAGAAAGAAGAAAAAGGTGTAGCTATATACACAGTTAATTGTTGATATGCTTTTAACATTAAACTTACAAGTATTTTGAATGGAAAAATGTCTTGTTAAACTTATTTCCCATTTTTTCTTTTATAGTTTTATATTAAAAGAGCACAATCATGTTTCGGAATAGTCTCAAGATGCTTCTTACTGGTGGGAAATCGAGTCGGAAAAACAGGTCAAGTGGTGAGTGACTACCGTACACTTACTGTGTGATAGTTTAAAAGTACAGACTGTCTTAGGGATCTGAACTATTGCCACCATACTTCAAGATTTTATAAGTAGTTTATTAAATTTGGAATATAAGGTTTACATTCTTTTTTCTTTTTCTTCTTTTTGGGGGGGCTTTGGAGGCAGGGCTGGATTTCTCTGTAGCTTTGGTGCCTGTCCTGGAACTTGCTCTGTAGACCAGGCTGGCCTCGAACTCTTAGAGATTCACCTGTCTGTGCCTACCAAGTGCTGGGATTAAAGGTGTGTGCCACCACCACCCTTTAATTTACATTTTTATATACTGCCATATTCTTTATTGGAAGGTAGGAACACTTGAATATTTATCAGCAACAGTGCTAAAGAAAAACTGTGAGGAAAAAGTACTTTTAGTTTATGAGAGAATAATATTTCTGAACATTTGTTTATTAAAACTCTAGACCTATGTTTATTTTTAAAATTAATATAAGAGTTTATTATAGTAATAGGTACTCTTAGTGGAAGAAACCATGAAAATTAGGACTGTTCCGATAGATTTATATATTGAGATATAATTGTAGGTGCCATGGTACACCCATATAATTCCAGCATTCTGGAGGCTGAAGCAGCAGGCTCATGAGTTTAAGACTGGTCAGTCTTAACTACGTAGGGAGTTCTAGCCCAGCACTGGCTACAGAGTAAGATACAGTTTCAAAAAGAACTGAATGTTTTTATAAGTGCTAAAGTTTATGAAGGGTTTTGTTGTTGTTGTAGTTTTATGTATATTTGCTTTTATTTTTAAAGAATAGGATAATTTGGGATTTTAGGTAAAAGAAAACTTCTGGGAGATGATATTGAACATAAATGTACTGGGTATGTTATTGAAGGGTGATAGCCTTTTTGCATTTTATAATGTTTTCAACCATTTCTCTTTAGTTTATAAATTTACATTTTTAGTTTATTCATTATTACTCATTTCAAATGTTGTAATTTGTATTGCGACTTTTTGAATCTTCAGATAGTTACATTTACTAATTTCCAAATATTTTTTGGTTTCCTGGTTATTCTTATTTTGACAGAAACTACTACATTAACTAAAGGAAAAAATTTCTCACTTTACTGACGTCGGTAGTTGTGGCCACAGTTCATTTTAGCTCTTTGGTAGACACTGGCTGGATATTTTCCATTCAGCTAAAGTAATGCTACCTTGAGTAAGCACAGAACCCATAGGTTTTGGTCCCACAAGATGCCTTCCATTTTTGCTGCCATTTGTCAATGGTGGATTCCTAGTTTACCCTTATATCTGATTGTTTATCTACTGGAGATTCCTAGAACTTCTCCTCAGGTCTATTTGCTAGAACAGCTCATAGAACTCAGAAAACGAGTTATTTAAAAGATGACTGGTTTGTTGCGAGAGAGTATAGCCTTGTAAACAGTTCATTGGAAGAGGTGGGTAGAGTGGAAGACCGGGAACAGTCTTGAAATCCTTTTGAAATTTGCCACCTCCCAACACTTCCATGTGTTTACCAACCCCAAAGTCTTTGAACCTGGGCATTTGGGATTTTATGAAGTTTTCATTATGTATATATGATTGATTCAGTTCAACTCCTCTGCCAAGAAATCAAAGGCCAAGGCTGAGTAGATCCTTCTAATCACATAATTTCCTGGCATCAAGCTCTCATTTAGGCTGTCCAAGAGCCAGCAGCTACTAGTAATCCCCTTACAAGCAAATAAAACTTAAACACTTTGAAAATTCTAGAGGTTTTTAGAACTAAGTACCAGGAAAAAGGACAGAGATCAAACATATATTTGTATGATACCTCATATTACTGTTGAATTCTAGACTAATTATATTGTTATCTGATAGTCTTTTCTGTATTATTTAATAGTTTTGCTATTTAGTGAGATTTGTTTTTTAATTCACATGATAAATTTTGGTGAATGTTCTGTATATACCAAAGTAATGTAGGTTCTGTATGTAGTGTAGATCAGTTTTGTTGGTGATAGTCCTCAAATATTTTATAGCCTTAGGTATTATCAATTGAGAAAGAAGTGGTAAAACACTATTCTGTGATTATGGATTTATTCATTTCTCCTAGTTCCTGACAGTTTTTGTTTTGTATTTTGAAGCTGTCTTGTTGGATAAATTCAAATTTTGATTGTTGTATCTTCCTTCACCATTATGGAACGTCTCTATTTCTAGAAGTTCATGTTGAAAGTTAGCCTTGTTTTGTATTAAAACATCTTGATCAGTGTTTGCAATATGTGATTTATTTCGTTCACTTACTTTGAATACTACTATATGATTGTTATTTATAGCTAGTGATGGATTGAATACTACTATATGATTGTTATTTATGGATAGTGACTGATTGAACACTACTATATGATTGTTATTTATAGATAGTGACTGATTGAATACTACTATATGATTGTTATTTATAGATAGTGACTGACTTTTCATTCATTCCAGAAAGGTTTTTGTTTTCTGTTTGTGTTAAGAAAACACAATAGCACTGGGTGGTGGTGGTGTACGCCTTTAATCCCAGCACTTGGGAGGCAGAGACAGGCAGATCTCTGTGAGTTCCATGTCAGCCTGGTCTACAAGAGCTAGTTTCAGGACAGCTAGGGCTGTTACACAGAGAAACCCTGCCTCCGTGGTGGGGGTTGGGGGAGGATGAAAACACATTAGTCCACATTAATTCAATCAGGAATATATCGGGTTTTAAATATAAGACGCTGCTTTGTTTTTCTACATGTCCTTTCTGTTCTGTGCTCTTTTGTTTTTATTTCTTTTTCCTTGTTGTCTTTTGAATTGACCAAAACACCATTTTATTTTTATTTCCCTTAGTACCTTGAAATTAATGCTCTCTTGTAATTTTAAAGATTCAAATATCAATCCTTAGTTTATCAAAAATTTATATTAATTGGTACTTTGGCCCCTTTCTTGGACAATGTAAGAGCCTTCAGTTTTTGTTATTTATTTCGAGTTCTCTAAGACATTTTTATTGTATTGTTGCTATAGTGAAATACTTGAGCGAAACATCTTCAGAAAGGAAGACATTTTTCTGATTTATGGTCTAAGGGAATACAATGAAGGCATGGCAGTGGGAGCAACTCATTACTGGTGGTGATAGCACGAGGCTGCTGCTCCATCTTTAAATAGCCACCAGGTTAGAAAGCAGAGAGAGCCAGACAAGTTTTGTAGGTTAGCTAGTAGCATTCTCACCCCTCTTCTCCCCACTCCCTTCTGGGGATCTAACTAAGGGCTTTGTGCATAGTAAGTAAGCATGAGCATTCTACCACTCTACACTTTGCTTCTACTTTGAAAGTCGTTTTCTCTGGGTCTCAAACTAGATGGGAAATTCTTTTTTCATTAAGCACTGAAATAGTTTTTATTGTCTTACTGAATTATATTGTCTCTGAAGAAACAGAAATTCTCATTATTTGTCCCCAGGCACTAAAATTTTATTATTATTATTTTTTACTTTGTCCATCAGTGTTAGACATGGTATGCTTAGACTTATAATTTTCTTTTTCTTACCTTACTTGATTTTTGTGAGTTTTTTGTGTCTGTGTAGATCTCTCCAATTGTAGAAAATCTTGTAGAATGATTGAGTGAATAGGGAGGCCTTCATATTCTTGTATCCTGTTTGTAACATAAGAAGTGCTTAGTAGTGTGTGTTTTGTGAGTGAATAACATTTTAAGGAAAATAACTACGTTATCAGCGTGTATAAACTATAGTTGGTTCACAGTGGCACACAACTGTAACCACAGCTATTCAGAAGGCTGAGGCAGGGGAAACTTTTTAGCTCAGTAGTTAGCGACTAGCCTAGGCAGCTTATCAAGATATGCCTAGAAAGAAAGACAGCAAAGGATCATGGTAATCTCACTGTTTAGAGAAGATGAGAAGGCTAAAGTTGTAATCCTAGGAATGCAGAGGACAATTAAGAAGTGGCCTGGATAGTGTGCTTACTGCAGTGGTTGGGAAGTGACAGGACTAGTGGAAATTGTTTGTTGTGGAGTTTCTGGCTGGAGACTGGCTGTCTTCTGCATTGCATTGTTTCAGGCCCATGTAATATTCACAATGACCATTATTCAGTGATTGCTGTCTAGAAACATGCATTATTTTTTTTAACCAGTGTAATCATTTTCATTTTCTGGCCTCATTTTAAATTTATCCTTATTATAACATTAGGATTATTTTTCCTTAGGACTCTAAAACAGTTTGATACTGTAAGTTATTTTGGTGGCACACTGTAATATTTTAGTCCAAAGATTTTTTTAACTGTCTGCTTTTATAGTTTGTTAATTACAGTTTGCAGTTTCCATCTTTGCTGATGGAGAAGGAAGACAGAGGAAACTCTATAAGAGTTTACACTATCAACACAAGCCTTTTTGTGACCCATTTTAAAAAACAATTGAAAGTAAATGAATTTCCGTCCATAGTAGTTTCTCCCTGTCCTCAAATTTTATAAGGTGCATGAGAGTGGCACAGTAATTGGTGCGGGAGAATTATCTGTATTCTGTCAATCGTGTATTTTAATAAAATGCTGATTGGCCAGGCAGGAAGTATAGATGGGTCAACCAGACAGGAAGTAGAGGTGGGGCAATGAGAACAGGAATAGTCTGGGAAGCAGGAAGCTCCCTCTGCCATTCCTGCCCAGATCACCAAAGAAGAAACATGTGAGTTGCCCAGCTAGGAAAGGTACTGAGCCGTGTGGCTAACGTAGATAAGGATAATGGGGTAATATGTGTTATAAGAGCTAATAAGTAACCTGACCAATCAGTTTATAACCTAATGTAGACTTTGTGTGATTTTCTTTGGGACTTGCCGGCTGTGGGATACTGGGCGGGATAGAAACCCCAACAAGCTGGCCCTTATGTTACAGGTAATTTTTTAGTGCTGATTGGAGTTCTTTGATAAAGCTTTCATAAGTGATTAATTCAAGCTTATGTATTATATTTATTTTTAAGGATTAAATGAATTCTCTTGTAG